GATGACTCAGACCTTGCCCCAGGGCAGTTTATTGCCCGAAAACTGTTTTCAAAGAGAGGGTCCCTCACCCTTTGCTTTGGAATTACCCCTCTTTACATAGTCTGATGGGCTTCTCAGGTGGCGCTAGTGGTGTTAGTAGAGGGGGCATAAGAGCAGCTTCCATTTTTGGGCCGGGAAGATCCCTTGAAGAAGGAAATGGCCACCCACTCCTGTATTCTTGCCTGAAAAATCCCAGGGACAGAGGAGCCTGGCAGGGTACAGCCCATAGTGTCGCAAAGAGTCAGACACGACTGAAGTGACTTGCCAGGCGCCCAGCCTGATATCTGGGCTCAGATCTACACAATCAGAATCTTTAAAGGTGGGCCCTTGAATCTTAATTTTAGGAGTTCTGCAAGTGATTCATGAAACATAAAGGTTTGAAAATGACTACTCATGTAGAAGAGACAGACAGGTGAGCCTAGACTGGTACACACAGGTAAATACTGTGTTAGTGAGCCTGAAAGGAATTGTCTGCAGAGGGTCGGGGGAAAGAAAGAAAGAAGGCTGCTCTCAGATCTTCGTCAGGGTGGCTCTGGCAGCGGGGGAGACAGTGTCCCCCTCAGCCTGTCTTCTTCACCAGCAGTCTGATACCGTCCACACACACTTCAACCAGAGGAGGAGCGACCGTCCCCATGGGAAGGGTCCTGTGGAAAGTCACATCTCAGACCTCTGTTCACATGCCGCCTTCCCAGAGATGCCGGCCTTACCCACGTCTTCTGAAAGGCTGTCCTGCCGCTCTCCTCACCCTGCCTGATTCGTCTTCTGTAATTTATTTGTGTCTAGCGCACCTTGTTGAGAAGTTGTGAGGACTTCTGTCGCTTTTGTTCACAGCGGTTGGCACACAGTAAGTGCTCAGTAAACGTTGGCACGGAGCATCCAGGAGGGCTGAGGGATCCACCCAGGACTCAGCTCTCTGCTGCTCTGAGAAACGGCAGGAGTTGCAGGATGCCCACGGGCTTCCTCTCCCTTTCTTGGCAGATGGGCACGAGGCAGGAGCCACAGGAGCTCTGCCCGTGTTCTCCAGCCCTTCCCACAGAGGCCTTTGCCGATCACACCTCTCCTGTCCCACAGACTGTCTTCCTTGTGTCTGAGTCCTGGGGAGCCTCCGAGCGCATACTTTTGATGCGGGGCTTCCTGGAACATTAAGACGCTATTTGAGGAATTGAACAGGGCTCTCTGGCGTGGCGAGTATGGTCCAGTGGAGGAGGGCCCGTAGCGCCTCCAGGGAGGGAAGGTCGGGTCTCCAGAGCCCACTGGAATCTCTTGAAACCCTTGCTTCTGGGGAGGATGAGCGTGCAGTGGGATGCCTTGCAGGCAGTCCAGCTTTGCTGAGGGGGTTTTCACAAAATGTTCTGCGTCGCAGGTTAATGTGTAAGACACGAGCTGTGCGTGGAAAGTTGGCAGAGTCCTTTGGAAACTGGCTGAAGGGCAGGAAACAAAGGGTAGCAGTAAAACAAACAAACAAACAAAAAACCCTAAAAGGATGTTAATTGAGGAGTGCCTCAGGGAGTAGGATTGAGGCTAGCTTTTTATTATTTACATAAAAATTGCTTGGAGAATGGTATTGAGAGGGATTTTCATGTTGGGTAAGGAAACTGCCTTAGAGAGTTGTGTGGAAATGTGAATAGGGGAATTAGGGAAGGACTCAATTTCCTGACGGAACTGAAAAGGAACATTTTCTAACATGTTTCTATTTATCAACCCACGCTCATTCTCTTGGCCAGATTTCTACTTGAGTAGCGGACAGGACAACTTCTGCTTAAAACAACTCGAATCTCCACACTTTGGGGGCCCCAGAAAGTGCCTGAAGAGACTTTGGCACCCTACAGACAGGGCAGGTCCTGAAATGAAATGGATGTTATCTTCAGACCTAGAGACCAATCTTTTCTTTTCTTAAATGTTGTTCAGTTGCTCAGTCATGTCTGAGTGTTTGTGACCCCATGGACTGTAGCATGCTAGGCTTCCCATAGTCCTTCACCAGCTCCTAGAGCTTGCTCAAACCACGTCCATCGAGTCGGTGATGCCATCCAGCCATCTCATCCTCTGTCAGCCCCTTCTCCTCCTGCCCTCAATCTTTCCCAACATCAGGATCTTTTCTAATGAGTTGGCTCTTCGCATCAGGTAGTCACAGTATTGGAGCTTCAGCTTCAGCATCAGTCCTTCCAGTGAATATTCAGGGTTGATTTCCTTTAGGGTTGACTGGTCTGATCTCCTTATAGTCCAAGGGACTCTCAAGAGTCTTCTCCAACACCCCAGTTCGAAAGCATCAATTTTTAGGCACTCAGCCTTCTTTAGGGTCCAGCTGTCACATCCGTACATGACTGCATGACTTCTTAAATGTATTTAAGCTTAATTTTTCATCATTTTTCTCAGAAAGGATATGCTGAAAGTATCTCATAAGTTTCAGGCAGAAATGATGATTGGCAAGTTCTTTTTTTGAATTGGAAGATAATTACTTTACAATACTGTGTTGGTTTCTGCTGTGTGACAACATGAATTGGTTATATATATCCACATTTACCCTCCCTCCTCCACTCCCCCACCATGAAACCTCTTTTAAAAGAAGCTGGAAGGCAGGCGGCATCTCGTATTTAGCTACAAATATAAGATGCTACAAGCACATGACACCCACATCTCCTTTCCTCCCTTTGTAAGGAACGTTTTCGATCCTCTGGAGCTCAAATTATCACAGAAATTTCTTGTAGATATACTCCAATAAGAAGCTAGCAGTCTCACATAAGCAAAGTGATTGCATACCGGAGGTCACGACACATGACACAGGGCTTGAAAGTGGGAGCTCAGAAGTGCCATTTGCTGTCCCCGCTGTAACCTCCCCTAAGGGATAGACTCCTAGATATCATGGAGCCCTCGGTTTCCCTGCCACCAACCAGGAGGACTTCTTGGCGGCCTTAGGATTCAAAGTGTGGTCCAGGGACCAGCAGCACCAGCCTCACACGGGAACAAGTGAGAAGTGCACGCTCTCAGGCCCTGCCCCAGCGCTGAGTTAGAATCTGCATTTCATTAGGATCCTGGCTGACTGCATTGATCACACATTGATCCTGTGCACAGTAACTTTTCAGAAGCACTGCTCCAAGACACCCAGGAGCCACAGAAGATAAAGCAGAGGGAGTCTGCTTGCTGCTACAGAGGAGAAATCGAACCACATGGGTTCAGTGGCCTGAGGCTGAAATTCTGGCATTTGGGACTTTCCAGTTTGCTGTAAATTTAAGATCCCCGCTCCTGTTGTCTTTAATTTGGCCCCAGAAGGCACAGTGCCTTCTCCAGAATATAAACTTACCCCGAAGTGAACGTGCCTTTTGAAAGGAAGATGTTAAAAGCCAGTCCAGTCTTCCCATGAGTGCTCTTTCCCACACCCTGCGCTCCCAAGCGAAGTTCATGGTGTACATACTATTAGCTAATTGTTGCTGTCTTGTCCCCCAGCCGCAGAGGCTATTTTCCATTTGAGCTCATTTCTCCAAAAACTTTGGGGCAGCTGTGGGCATTTTGCTGTTTTCTGCTGTTGGGTGTAGGCTGTTCGTCCTGTAGCAGGGTGTCACTGGCCTGGGCAAACCTTCCTGAAATACAGGAGGCCTGGCTTTCACAGATGTGGATGGGAACATTCTGCAGGCCTCTCAGAATTATATTGTCTCGAGGTCTGAGATGACAGGACGGTGACTCTTATGATGGGACACGGGGACAGCTGCCTACACGCCATCCTCCGCCCCTCCCCTGGCCTGCAGCCGTCACTTAGACTTGTTTTTAGAAAACAGGATAATGCAATGAGGTTGAAGGACTCAGAAGACTGATGAAATTGACCTGTCTTTGTCCTCAGTTCATGAGGGGGTGTAGACAGGGCTGATTCTGTCACATTAGTAGGGCATAGCAATGCATCCCCTTCTGTGCACCCACGTAGGGTGGACTTTAGCTCCAGTTAGGCTTTCTTGGTAGCTCAGACGGTAAACCTACAATGTGGGAGACCTGGGTTCGATCCCTGGGTCAGGAAGATCCCCTGGAGAAGGAAATGGTAACCCACTCCAGTACTCTTGCCTGGAAAATCCTATGGACTGAGGATCCTGGTAGGCTACAGTCCATGGGGTCGCAAACAGTCGGACACGACTGAGCAACTTCACTTCACTTCAACAGAAGGAAGGCTTGATTTTCATTAGCATTAGTTTTGCTAAGGTCACTCTGTTCTTTTCCAAGACTCAAGGGGGATGTTGAAATAGCCAAGTCATTTCAGGTACTAGAGATGAGGAAAGACTTCAGGTTTGCGAAGACATACACTTGGCATGTGTCCTTTGTAATTTAGGCTAGATTGAGGCCCTTCAGACCTGAGTGCAGCATCAGAACTCCACGCTTACATGAGATGAGTCTAGCTCCAGGGGTCTCAGAGAAGGCAAGCCAAAAGTATCAAGTGAGGGCCTGAAATAAAGTGTGTCTGCTCAGTCCTAAACCAATACATTCAGAGCAGCTTCTGTGGAGCCTAGACTGGCCTTATCTCCTTCACAGACTAGGAGCTCAGAGCAGGGAATTCTGCTGTTTATCTTTATACTTAGAGCATCCGGCGCAGAGCAGCCCCTTAGTCAATGTCTGTGGGATGGATGTGCGGAGAAAGGAAGGCAGCAAGCTTCCTGCTGTTCTGCTGGCTACCGCTGTGTCTATTATGTGTCATTGTTCCAGCCACATCTCAGGCATTACATTTTCGGTTAACTTCTTCCTTGGCAACTGTTAATTTCTTGGGCTCACTCACAGTTGTGTTTGGCGCCCCATATGTCTATACAGCAAGTCTCCAAAGGAGGCTACCCCCGGCCACAAAGCATGTTGCATAGCCATGTGCCTTACGGAGCAAACTTAAAAACCACGGGGCTGGGCAAGAAAAGGGAAGGGAAATCAGAAGCCAGTCTGCTAAGGGGAATAATATGCTCCTAACTTCTTAAGCAGGGTATTCCTGTTCTTTTCAGGTAAGAGTCTACGATCTCTCCAAATACGAGCATGGAGCAGATGACGTGCTGATCTTGGCCACTGATGGACTCTGGGATGTTTTATCAAATGAGGAAGTGGCAGAAGCAATCACTCAGTTTCTCCCTAACTGTGATCCAGATGACCCTCACAGGTTGGTGCGTTTCCATGATTGGAGGGTTGTTAGTCGAGTGGCGTTTCATGATGTGAATAAAATAGATAACAATCGTGCAATTTTCATCATTTATGATTCACCATTTATGAGCTGATATAGGTGGTTTAGTTACTAAGTTGCAAAAGGGACTACATTTCTCCTTTTTTGTTGTTTGGGAGTAATCATTTTAATTTTAAATTTTTATTGGCATATAGTTGATTTATACTGTCATGTTAGTTTCAGGTGTAGAGCAGAGTGAATCAGTTATACGTATAATACATATAGCCACTATTCTTTTAGCATCTACCCCATATAGGTCATTACAGAGTATTGAATAGAGTTCCCTGTGCTCTATGGCAGGTTCTTATTAGTTGTTCATTTCATATATAGTGTGTATATATGTCAGTCCCAACCTCCCAGTTTATGCCTCTCCCACCCCTACCCCTGGTAAACACGTTTGTTTCTACGTCCATCACTCTATTTTTGTTTCATAAATAAGTTCATTTGTACCTCCCCCACCCCCAACCTCAGACTCCGCATATAAGCAATATCATATGATATTTGTCTTTCTCTGTCTGACTTCTTTTAACTCAGTATGCTGATCTCTGGGTCCATCCATATTGCTGCAGATGGCATTATTTTGCTATTTTTCTATGGCTAATAGTCATATGTATAGTATGTACGTACCACATCCTCTTTATCCATTCCTCTGTTGATGGACATTTGGGTTGCTTCCATGTCTTAGCTATTGTAAATAGTGCTGCAGTGAACACTGGGTTGCATATGCCTTCTGGAATTATGGTATTCTCTGGGTAAGTGTCCAGTAATGGGATTGCTGGACCAGATGGTAGTTCTATTTTTAGTCTTTTAAGGAGCCTCCATACTGTTCTCCATAGTGGCTGTATCAATTTGTATTCCCACCAACAGTGCAGGAGAGCCCCCTTTTCTCCACCCCCTCTCTGGCATTTATTGTTTGTAGGTTTTTTAATGATGGCCATTCTGATGGGTATAAGGTGATAGATACCTCAATGTGGTTTTGATTTACATTTCTCTAATAATCAGTGATGTTGAGCATCTTTTCCTGTGATTTTTGGCTACATTTCTTTCTTTCCTTTTTTTGGCTATGCTGCTCGGCTCATGGGATCTCAGTTCCCTGACCCGGCCACAGCAGTGAAAGCCCGGAATCATAACTGCTAGGTGATCAGGGAACTCCCTACTCTCACAGTCAAATAAAAATCCTCCTTAAGTTAAACCTAGATAAAAGTAGTAAAGAATACTCTTTGTGAGATATTTTAGCAGTATCTCTTCCTCACAGTCTTCCTTCATATTCTGAAAATGGGAATAACCCAATTTGTGATCTGATCCTCCTAGTAAGAATGATAGCAGATGTTCCCAGTATTGATTTCCATCTTTTGGAGAACAGCTTCTTTCAGGAAACATTGGGAAAGGAGAGAAACCTTAAAGTAAGGATTCTGAATAACATTATGGCAGTGTTAATATTTTAAACAACCCTAGGTGACTCAGAAATAAAAAGAAATCCCCTCTAGAGAAAGACATCTTTCACTTAGAACACAAGGAAATAAGTCACCATGAGTAAAAACCAGCAGAAACAACAGACAGCATAGTTGGAACTGTAAATACTTCATTATTTAGTTTATCAGCCAAAATATATAAATAAATACTTTAACATGTTTCATAAATGTTTTTAAAAGCATTGAAAACATGAATAAGGACAAGAGACTACAAAATGACTGCACAGATTTTTTAAATAAGAAAATGGAACTTCTAGAGATGAATAATATAAAAATAGGAACTAAAAACTCAATGGATTAAACAGACTGGAGACGGTTGAAGAGCACATTGATGAGCTGAAAAACTGATCTGAACAATCCAGAATATGGCTCAGAGAGACAAAGAGGGGGGAAGTATGAAATTAGACTAAAAAAAAAAAAAGAAATTAGACTAGGAGGCTGACCTAAAGGTGCTGTAAACACAAATGCCAAAGGAAATACTATAGAAAATGGAAAGGAAAAAACCAAGTTCCAATCCAGAAATGTTGAATGATATTAAACCTAAGATGCAGAAAGCCAAACAGATCTCAAGCAGAAGAAATAAAGAGAAAATTTTAAGTAGATATTTCATAGTGAAACCGAAGAACTGAAAAAAGACACGAAAGGCAGTCAGGAAGAAAGATGAAATAGATACATAGGAATAGCATTTACACTGATAGCGTACCTTTCAAAAACAACACAGAAGTCAAGACATTGGAGTTGTATCTTCAGCTGGCTAAGAAAAGAAGATCCAGTTTTTTGGAATTTGTATATATGGTAAAAATATCAAAAAAGAGGATGAAGTAAAAGCCTTTTGAGACGAAAAAAAACACTGAGAAATTTTACGGCCACCCAGCCTCTGAAGAAATTCTAAAGAATCTCCTCAGATAAGAAAAGGAAACGACCCCAGATGGAAGATGGAGACCTAAAATAGATTATTAAGCTATTAAGTAAATAGGTGGGTATACTTAAACATACATTAACTATATAAAACAGCAATATGAGTGTCTGATGTGTGGTTAAGAAAATATAATATACTGAATAAAAACTGCATAATGAATTGGCCAGTGCATATAATAATCAGCTAAAGTATGTTATGGTTCTACTTGAAAAGAGATTATAAGTGTTTAACTTTAGACTTTAAATTTGTTTAGTAGTAAGAAAATGATTAGAAGAACAGAAAGTATAATTTTCAAACTAGTCAAGGGAAAGAAAGCCCACATTGAATTAAAAACCAAACTTCTAAACAACTTACGAATCACTGTTACACCTTTTGTCTTTTGGGATTTCCTGGAAGTGTGAATTTTGCAGTTACTTGTTCATATGTAAATATTTTACTTTCAGAAATAAAGTTTTAAATTGCTCTTGTTTTATATAGTATTGAAAGAAAATTAACTTCTTTATTAAAAAGTTTATCTGTTGAAAAACTTACAAATCAAAAAATTATAATAAAAATTAGAAATTACTGGGGTTTGGATAATAAGAGTACTACATATTAAGACTTCAAAGGCTGAATTTTGAGCTTTTGTCCCCCTAATTTAAGGAGCTACACACAGGTGAAAAATTCTAGACATCCTTGACCTGCCAGAAATGACTATACTCCTTCCGTATCATAAAATCACTTTCCCAGCCTTCCCAGTCTCCCAGTTTCCCAGATCACAAGAGCTCTGCCCATAAGCTCCAGACTCCTGATCTCAGAAAAAGAGGTCCCTAACCATAGAGAAGGGTAGTATTTCTCAGAGGAAGACCTGGAGGGCCGATTTGTGCTACTGGGCTAGTTCTGCCCAAGTACTTACACAAACATGTACAAAAGAGTTCTGGTAACTTCAGGGTTCTAAGGAACCACAAGAATGATGCCGTCCACTTGTGCACTGTGTGTCCTTTTCCTGGGTACGGGCAACTAGTAAACAACTGTCCTAATTAAAAAATTTAGTTTTGTGATCCTTATTTCAGCAACAGCATCTAGATTAAGAATGAAAAAGCAGAATAAACCCATGAGAAGTAATGGAAGGAGAAATTAAAGATAACAGAAGAACAAATATACAATAAAAAAAAACTATAAAGCCAAAATTTGTTTCTTTAAAACAACTAAACATTAGGGAAATGCAAATCAAACCACAGTGACATACTACTTCACATCCATTAGGCTGGCTATTTTAAAACAAACAAAGAGAAAATAACAAGCATTAGTGAGAATGTGGAGAAATGGAAACTTTCTGTGTGTTGCTGGTGAGATGGTAAAACGGTACAGCTTCTGTGGACAACAGTATGGAGATGCCTCAAAAAATCAAACATATAGTTATATCCACCAATTCCACCTCTGGGTATATACCCCTGAAAAACAATAGCAGAGAGTCAAGCAGATACTTGTACACTCTTGTTCATAGCAGCATTATTCGCAGTAACAAAAACGTGGAAGCCACTCAAGTGTCCATTGACAAATGAATGAGATAAACAAATAGTGGTTATATAATACAATGGACTATTCATCAGTCTTAGAAAGGAGTGAAATTGTCACATGTGTTACAGAATGGGTGGACATTATGCTCAGTGAAATAAGCCAGTCACAGGCGGACAAATACTGTATAACTCCACTTATATAAGGTACCTAGAGACAGATACGTGTCAAATGTCTCAAATACATAGAGACAGAAAGTAAGATGGCTGTTGCTGGTTGCCAGGGGTTAAGGGGTTGGGGATGGGGAGTTGGTGTTCAACAGTCATAGCGTTTCGTTTGAGAACAGGAAAAAGTTCTGGAGATAAATGGTGGTGGTGTAAAATGTGAATGTATTTAATGCCACAGAACTATACACTTTAAAGTGGTAAAAATGTTAATTTTTATGTTATGTATATTTTACCACAAAACAATTTCTCAAAAAAAAAAAAAAAGGCAAAACGACACCCCCCCCAAAAACTCTAACAGGAGCTTCCCTTGTGGTTCAGCAGTGAAGACTATGCTTCCAGTTCAGGGGGCGTGGGTTTGATCCCGTGAGGGAACTGAGATCCCACATGCTGCATGGTGTGGCAAAAGAAAGAAAAAAACTAACAAAGTAGATGAATTTCCCATAAAACTAATAAAAAATGAGGGGGGCTGGCAAATAAATAATAATAGAAAACAGTGATAATTCAGATGTGTGCGTGTGTGCTCGGTCGTTTAGCTGTGTCCGACTCTTTTGCAACTCCATGGACTGTAGCCCACCAGGCTCCTCTGTCCACAGGATTTCCCAGGCAAGAATACTAGAGTGGGTTGCCATTTCCTTCTCTAGGGGATCTTTCCAACCTGGGGATGGAACCTGAGTTTCCTGCATCAGCAGGTGGATTCTTTACCACTGAGCCCCCTGGGAAGTCCTAACTCAGATGAAGTAGCAATATAAGAGGAAATGGCTACCCACTCCAGTGTTCTTGCCTGGAAAATCCCATGGATGGAGGAGCCTGGTGGGCTACACCCCT